ACATGTAATTTTACACAAATAAATAATAAAAGGTTTTAACTGATTTGTCTTTTTAAGGCTGAGCTTGGAAAGAGTAGAAATATAGAAACGTAAAATACAAATACATACAAAATAATATAACATATAAGGTTTTGTACTCTACATATTTGTATTTGTACTCTTTCTAAACTGAACCTTAGGAGCATGTATTGCTAGGATCCACTTAGGAGTTATTCTCTATCTTAAGGCTTACTGCATTGGCTACACATTGATTAATTTAGCTGAAGCTTGGTGGCATGGGAAGCGGTGAACATGGCCACTAACTACAAGGATTAATTCCCCAATCATTTTATAAGGTGACTCCAAGCTCGTGGCTAATTGTCTCAAAAGGAAGGTGCAGCCCCCATGGAACCTGGACAATATCATCAAAGAGTGCATTAATGCAACGACATAGATCAATGCAAGCATCCCATTCAAACATGTGTATCGCGAAGCAAATGAAGCTACAGACTGGCTTGCTAGGAATGCTCAATCTATCACTCCAATTAATGCTAATTGTATCCCGTATGATCTTAATGTAATTTGTTTTTCTAATTCTTGGGGAAGAGTTACCCCCCGTCTTTGTAACTTATCTTTTGCCTATCAAAAAAAAAAGATAAATTAATTAAATGGTAAATTGCTGAAACCTCCCTTGAATTTTCTGATTGTTGCTAAAACCTCACCCTAAAGTTTGGTAATTGCATCCACCTCCCCTTAACTTTTTGGCATAATTGCAAACAGACTCCCTTTGTTAGAATTAATTAACAAGAGGCAAGAAAAACATCCAAAATACCCATGAAATTATTATTGAAGCTGGTTTCTTCAAAAAAAAAAAAGCAATAACAATAAGAAGAAAGAGAGAATTTAAAGTTGCACCTCTATTTTTTAGCAATTGATATGAAGGGAAAATTTGGAAAATAAATCAATTTCAAAGAAGAGATTGGAAGGGTTTGGAATAGTAATTGACATGAAGAGAAATTTTGAAAAATAAGCATTTTGGTGAAAAGTAATTGCATGGGTATATTAGACATTTTTATGTCTCTTTTTAGATGATTTTAATAAAGAGGGTCTACTTGTAACTATGTCACAAGGTTCAGAGTAAGTGTTTGCAATTATTAAATTTTAGGGGAGGTTTCAACAATTTACCCTTAAATAATAAAACTTTCAAGAGTATAGACATGATTTACCATACTTCAACTTCAGCCATTAAGGCTCCATTCATTTTTACTTATCTGGATAAATATGTTTACTTGAGCAAGTGTTTCTTAGGTAAAATTTGTCTAGATAGTTGAGGTTACAATGTTGTTGTGTGATACAAATTACCCGAGTAAAGAGAGAGGCGAAGCCACGGAAGGGAGAGTGTTATTGGCGTCCGAATAAATTGCTTATCCATCTTGTAGGAGGGTATTAATTACCCTCATAACGGATACTCTCCGGTATCTTTAATTACGATGGGACCCAATATACTATAAGAAGAATGATTGACTGCTGCTAAAAGTCCTAAAGGTGCCGCTAAAAAGCTTTACCGAGCAGCGAAGTGCAGCTAAAGCAAGTGTCGCTAAAGGTTCTAGCGGCAGTTCTAGCGACTGCTGGTAAAATACAAAAATCTGCCGCTATAAATGATTATTAGCAGCAATCGTGACTGCCGCTATAAGTTTATAGTGGAAGCCACAATTTTTTCTAATGGCAGTCCCTCGATTGCTGCTAAATCTCTATTATTTTTTTACACCTACTAAAACAACATGGAATTTGTTATAAATAACCTATAATTTAAATGTAATTGGCTACAAATAGGGGTGGCTAATGGGTGGGTTGGGTAAGGGTTGAATCCCAACCCACCCATCTTGACCCACCAACCCACCATGACTCATCATCAATGCTTGTTGAAGGATCACAACCCACCTTAACCCTGACCTATATGACCCACTTGACACATTCATATGACCCTTGCCCACCCTCACCCATACTAACCCACCTACCATCATATATAAATACATAAACGGGTCGACTCGACCTATTTACCCTAAACAACAATTTTTGAGAGATTCAACTCTCCCGAGACTGTCAAGTGATATACACGGGATGGATCGACCCATGTACCCAAAAATAACATTTTTTATGAAACACCTCTCAATGATGCCACATGGTAGAAACGGGTCATGTCAGCCCGTATACCCAAAAAATAACAACTTTTTGAGAGAAACAACTCTCCCGAGATTGCCGTGTTGTATAAACGGGTCAAGTTGACCCATATACCCAAAATAACATAAAATACTAGAATATACAGAAATTAATCAGAAAAATTATAGAAAATTCACAAAAATGCAGAAAATTGCAAAAAAATAGCAGAAAAATAATAGAAAATTATAAAAAATTGTAGAAAATGCAGAAAATTGAAGAAAATAGCAAAAAATTTCAGAAAATAGCAAAACATAGCAGAAATTTGTAGAAAACTCACAAAAATTGTAGAAAATGCGGGAAAATAGCAGAAATTTGTAGAAAAACAGCAGAAAATTATAGAAAATATCAGGAAATAACAGAAAATTGCAGAAAATATAAAAAAAATCAGAAATTTCAGAAAAAAACAGAAAAATTCCACAAATAGCATAAAATTGCAAAATTTACAGAAAAATGCAGAAAATGCAAAAAAAAATCAGAAAATTGTAGAAATTTGCTAAAAAATAGCAGAAATTTCAGAAAATACTAGTAAATTGCAAAAATGCAGAAAATACAAGAAATTGCAGAAAAATACCAGAAAATTGCAGAAAATAGCAGAAAATACTAGGAAGTTAAAGAAAATACCAGAAAATGCGGAAATTTTCAGAAATAGCAGAAAATTACAAAAAATACCAAAAAGTAGCAAAAAATACAGAAAATGCAAAAAATACCGAAAATTTGCAGAAAAATACCAGAAAATTGCAAATAATGCAGAAAATATAGAAAATATCAGAAAATTGTATACCTAACTGTTGTTACACATTATATTCTAGGGTTCTATTCGCAATAAACTTTGTTCTGATAAATGGACTTCGCTGATTTCTTAGCTCAACATAGTAACATTAACCTCAAAAACTAATTTACAAAAACAAAAATGAACATCAACTTCAATTTCAGCTAGCAGAAACATATATTTAATGCTGTGCTTAATTTGATACAAATAAGAGAAACATATATTTAACCAAAAAAGTTCTTCACTGACAAAGATATGCCTAAACACGGCATTTAGTTATTTGGCTTCTAGTCTTCTCCTAAAGTTCAGCCTGTCACTTCGAACTCTTGTTGGTATCAGTCGGAATTTTGGTAGGCAAATAGTATCAAGCAGTTCAGGAATACCAGAAAAGAAACTTCAAATTTTTCTAAGTTGGAAGATACAAGTGGATCAGGAAGAACAACACCCAGATGCTTTGAACTGTTTAAATCCATTTACCAAGAAAGAAAAATGCACCCATCTAGTCACTAAACAGTCTTCAATGTTGAAGTACTACACTAGCTCTTTTCARACAATATACTTTAAATGAGATTGAAAGGGGAAAGCCTGTTTCACAAACGAAGATATTCCAATGTTGGTCCCCTTGCAGACAATATACTTTTGTTCCACCCCTTGCAGAAATAGAAAATTTTCGCTATAAAAGGCCATTATTCAATGTTAGTCCCAGTGTTCTCATGCTTGTCAGAGATAAATTTCACTGTATTTCCGAAAAAAACTATGAACTATGATTGTAAGGTTATATATTAAGTGCTGTTGTACAAACCAGTAAGAGAACTATTGTCTAATAGGTAAAGCACTTCAGAGAAAATCTAAAATGCTGAAAGTGCCTTTTCTAAATGTTAAACCGTTTTTCTTCTCACAATATCAAAAAAAAAAGCCCTTTTTCTTCTCACTTGATAACACTCAATTGAACTTCTCCTCGATAATGGTTAAAATAATGCATATTTAGGTAGCCCCTACAAATGGATTTCA